AGTGCCAGGAGTAGTAAGAAACCTGTCACATGAATTACAGGTCATGTGACCGCAAACTTCTGCAGGAGTGCTTTCTGTATCAAGAACACTCAGCCGGACAGTGCGGTCTCTATAGACGTAAAATGCATGCACGGTGTAGAGCAATTACTGTAATGCCCTGCGGAGAGCACTCTGTTATAAATAGGGGCCCCTGGTGTTTTATGAAAAAAGTCCAGTGAAACTGTTCTTTTAGGGAGGGTCCACACCCCCTTTGGAGCATTTGCCAAATCAGGATCAAATTATTGCAACAAAGGCACCAATAGCATAAAGCAGAAGGAAGTTCTTGAACCAGAGAACACGCTGGCTGCATTTCACAGGTTCACATACAAAGTCTATTAGAAATATTCACCAAGTTGATTTTCCTGGATCACGGATACTACACAGAGGTGTTCACAGGAGAGAAAACATTTCACAAATCAATATCCAAGAAAAAGAAGAAAAGTGAAGATTGTACTTCCTGTATTATGGAATACAAGGATATGATTAATCACCTACCTGATGTATTGTTCCATCAATCTCGACAGGGACAATAAAGTCGGCATTGTTAATCGGCTAAAAAGAAAAAGAACAAAAAAAAAAAAAAACATCTAATTAAACAACAAACACATTCTGCCTCCGAATACAATTAAGAAGATAGAAGTGAACCATGAATCACAACGACAGTCTGTGCGGATCTAGTTGTAGGTCTGCAGCATGAGAGGCTGCAAAGCAAAGGGCTTGAGAGATGTGGAGTAACGAAGGCCGGATACAGACAGGCAGATGTCTTACCAGGAGTGAATGGTGACAGCTGCCGGTCTCTGAATGTATGACGCCGCCATAAGGGGCAGCCATGTTGACTTGGCTGGTGATTACAACACAGATGGAGCTACAAATCTGTTTTCTCTCCCCCCCCAGAGAAACGAGAACGATCAGCGATTCAACCATTCTCCGCTCCGACCTTAAAGGGAACCTGTACTCGCTTATTACATCGCATGTTGCCCGGCTGCCCGCATGTTCTCCAATTTTAATACTTTGCATCACTGACGTGGAACAGGTATGCGGCAATTCAAGTGTGAAATCTGTATAATGATGTATTAAACCCCTTAGATCGGGGAAGCCAGGCAAAGGGGAGAGCCATGGCAGCCTACAGTTCTCTCAGTACAAGTTTCCTTTAAAACACTTCCACCTCCAACCATCCTTGAACAGTCCAATTCCGAAACCTCGGAGACAAGTATAGGTTCAGTCATTGGACAGAGGGGTTTGGGGTATAAGTCAGCATGTGACCGTCTCCATATAATAGTACTCTGGCCCCCTCGTGTAAGGTTTTGGTCCCAAAACCTCAGGGACCAGTATTGGTTCTGTCATTGGACAGTGGGGTTTGCAGGTATAAGTGAGCATGTGACTTCCCCCATTTACAATAGTTCTCGGGCCCCCTGGCGTAAAGCCACAAGCGTCATTCAACAGTCCAATTCCGAAACCTCAGGGACCGGTATTGGTTCTGTCATTGGACAGTGGTGTTTCCAGGTATGAGCGAGAATGTGACCTCACCTATATAATAGAGCTTTGCACCAGGAGGCCCAAACACTATCATTCAACAGTCCAATGGCAAAACCCCAGGGACCTGACATTGCAGGTTTTTGGGGTATGAGTGAGCATGTGACCTCCCCCTTAGAATAGTGCTCGGGCCCCTGGTGCAAAGCCACCACCGTCATTTAACAGTCCAATGCCGAAACCTCAGGAACCAGTATAGGTTCTGCCATTGAACTGAGGGGTTTTGGGTAGAAGTGAGCATGTGACCGTCTCCATATAATAGTACTCTGGCCCCCTGGTGTAAGGTTTTGGTCCCAAAACCTCAGGGAACTGTATTTGTTCTGTCATTGGACAGTGGGGTTTTCAGGTATGAGTGAGCATGTGACCTCCCCTATATAATAGAGCTTTGCACCAGGAGGCCCAAACACTATCATTCAACAGTCCAATGGTGAAACCTCAGGGAGCAGTAGAGGTTCTGCCATAGGACAGTGGGAGCTTCTGGGTATGAGTGAACACGTGACTTCCCCCAAACACCAACGTTTGGCCCTTATGGTGCAAAGACCCAACTGTCATTTGCCAAAATCTCAGGGGCCGATACAGGTTCCGTCATTGGACAGCTGTAAAATCGTAATTATGCGGAGCTGGATTTAAACATTGTGTCGAGTTCCTTTTCATTGAAGGCAATTTATAGAGAGGAGTGCCCCTGGGCTAGGCAGCTCCAGATGGATGAGGGGGATCCTAAAGCAAGGGTGGGCAACTCCGGCCCTCCCGCTGTGCTTTAACTACATATCCCAACATGCCTCTGCCTCTGGAAATCATGCCTGTAACTGTCAGTCTTGCAATGCCTCATGGGACTTGTAGTTGCAACACAGCCAGAGGGCCAGAGTTGGCCATCCCTGCCCTAAAAGGAGCTTTGGGTCAAGAACTATGTGAAAGAAGAATAAAGAGTCACACCGAATGCTGAGGGGCCAAAGCAAACTTTTATTTTCTCATATTATAAAAGCTACTCAGCATAAAGTGACGGTGCCTGAAGACAGTCCCCCTCCCCAAATTATTTACAGTGCCATGCTGAGACAACACCTCAATGCACTGCCAGAGCAGGGTGCCCAGGTATGTCACCTTTCCCATTGTCACGTGTGCTGGGACAGAGGCATGGTGATGTCATACCCATCACAGCTTTTACACCAGAGCTTAGCCGGGCTTGCAGCAGGGTATAGGGGGATGGCTGGGTGAGTAAGCAAGCCGGGGAGGGGGATTATGTGCAGACAACGTCAAAATGACAGCATTAAAAAAATAATAATAATTAGGGATGCACTGATACCGGTATTTTGGTACCGAGTACGAGTACCGATAATTTTTTTCCAGTACTCGCCGATACCAATTACCGAGTAACGGAAGTCCCATTCAGGAAGGCAGGTGGCGTGTAAAGACTCGCCACCCGGCTTCCCGATTAACAAGAAAGCCGTCCCAGCCTGTCCCCTCTTACCTTGGTATGTCCAGCCTGTCACCCCCCGGGGCCTCTATAGCCAGAACGGGGCCTTCCTTCGGTACCCAGCTGGAGCTGTCTGGTCGGCCAATCAGGAAGTCGGGCGCAGTGTAATCACTGCTTTCTGATTGGCCGGCTCCATGCTCCCTCGTCATGCGATGACGAGGGAGCATGAAGCCAGCTTCCCGGTCAATCAGAATGCCGGGCGCTGTGTCATTACACGGCACCCGGCTTCCTGATTCTCCAGCCTCCCGACCAATCAGGAAGCCGGGCAGCGCGTCATTACACGCTGCCCGGCAAGTCGGCTCCATGCTCTCTCATCACTAATGACGAGAGAGCATGGAGCCGTTTCCAGGCCAATCAGGAAACCGGGCAGCGTGTAATGACGCGCTGTCCGGCTTCCGGAAGTACTCGTGCTAGGCATCGGAGCATTTGGGCGAGTACGGTTACTCACCCAAATACTCGGTATCGGCACCGATATCAATACTGGTATCGGTGCATCCCTAATAATAATGAATCATCATCATCATCATCATCATCACTTGAACCTACAGAAACAAGTCTTTGGCTGCAGTTTTCTACCCACACAAAGCTGGAGCAGCATGCATGGCTCCAAGGCCACGAATACAGTACGGGTACCTTAAAAGAACTGTGTACTAAGGTTTCATCCAGATCAATGACCACGCACTTCTTGCCATATTCGGGCACTTTCAGCTCTGGAAGGAGGTATTTAAGAGGTGGCTATCAGAAAAAAGAAAAAGAATAAAAGAACTTTTAAACGATCATTGTAAATACGAAGGGGATAGAACTTGTCAGATTTGTTTGGTTTGCACATGCGCACAGAAGAATAAAAGCATCAAATCTCATAAGAAGGCGAAACAAAAAAAATCAGCAGCGACTGACACTAAAAAAAGAACTTAACAATTATTTTCATTCCTTGATAAAGCTTTATGCAGAAATATTAAAGCGGAACTCCACTTAAATGTGTAGGACAGAATATGGGGACCGGGGGACCGTTAGAACTGGTCCGGACTTTCCTGCTGCCATGTTCACCGATTACAGAGAATTTGCTTCATTTCCTGTGTGTTTTTCAGAAGCAGAAGAGATCAATATGTCCCCCCAACTGGACACAGCAATGAAAACTTCTAACAATTCTAAACCTCCCACACTCTGATCTAAAAAAGATGTGTTAGCTGATGTTCTGCTCTCAAGCCTAACCCCGAGATGAGCAAAAATGCAAGAATCCTGTGTGTTCTTCTTGAATCTTGGTGAGCTTTGTGTATTTCTTCCCGATCTGTGCAGTAATCCAGTGCGAGACATGGAGCTTCCTGTAATAAAGACCGCTCACTGCTGCTCTCTCTCCTTGTGCAGGGTGACTGGTCTCGTCTCCGCCCCCTCCTGTAATAAAGACCGGCCACTGCTGCCCTCTCTCCTTGTGCAGGGTGACTGGTCTCGTCTCCGCCCCGACCGGCCACTGCTGCCCTCTCTCCTTGTGCAGGGTGACTGGTCTCGTCTCCGCCCCCTCCTGTAATAAAGACCGCTCACTGTTGCTCTCTCTCCTTGTGCAGGGTGACTGGTCTCGTCTCCACCCCCTCCTGTAATAAAGACCGCTCACTGCTGCCCTCTCTCCTTGTGCAGGGTGACTGGTCTGGTCTTTGCCCCCCTCCTGTAATAAAGACCGGCCACTGCTGCTGCTCTCTCCTTGTGCAGGGTGACTGGTCTGGCCTCTGCTGCCCTCCTGTAATAAAGACCGCTCACTGTTACTCTCTCTTCTTGTGCAGGGTGACTGGTCTCGTCTCCACCCCCTCCTGTAATATTGACCGGTCACTGCTGCTCTCTCTCCTTGTGCAGGGTGACTGGTCTAGTCTCCGCCTCCTCCTGTAATAAAGACCGCTGAGTGCTGCTCTCTCTCTCTCCTTCTGCATAGTGACTGGTCTCCGCCTCCGCCTATAGTTTCCTGCAGACAGCCTGTAGTGTACAGCTCTGCTCAGGCTATGTACAGTACAGTGATTATGTCAGGCAACATCTGGGTTTGTAATGGCATTTGGTGCACACAAAGTGGATTTATATCCTTTGTGGCTATTGAAAAATATACTTAACCCCTTCGTGACTGACGACGTACAGTGTACGTCGCCAGCATCGGGGCTGTTTAAACAGACTCATTTTGGTACTCGGAGTTCAGCTTTAAACATAACATTTTCACCACACAAGATTATAAATTAGTATCAGGCTAAAAGGTGAAGCACCGCGCAGACAGCAAGCTTGCAGTTAGAACAATAGATTCTGTAGTCCAAGCTCGCAATATTGAACTCTGAAGAGCATCTCTTATATCCAGTGACTAGCAAACTCCTGTCCAGATATTTTCTTCAAGTATTTTCTTGGATATGTCTGTAAAACAGTGTCCGGCAACCTCAGCACTCCAGTTGTGATGAAACTCATCATGCCTCTGTGAGTCATACCTGTGGCTGTCAGTCTTGCAATGCCTCATGGGATTTGTAGTTCCACAACAGCTGGAGCCCTGAGCAGTGGCGTAACAACCGGGGGGGGGCAGCAGGGGCGCGGGCCCCGGGCGAAAAGTGAAGGGGGGGCGCCGGCCGAAAATGCCACTTTTGGCTAAATGCCGAAAGTGACATTTTCCTGCCGTTTTGTCGGCGCGGCCGTGATTCCTTTCATCCATGAGGATGCCCCTGCCTCTAGAAAATGTTCAGCTAGATGGAAAGGTTTCCAATGCATATTCATATTTTAAAGGCCTTGTTTGTATATATACACACCTTAAAATATACATTAAAATATGTACATGGAAGCATACAGAGCCATACATGTCATTACAAACAAACACAGACGCCGCTTCCTTCTTTTAGGCCATGTCAGGCGGGCGATTAATCAATGCTACAAATAGCTAAGGGCCGTGATTTAATGAGTGCAGCCAGTGGCGAACTTTCGGCATCAGATCCCAGGCACAGCGTACAGAGCAGATCGGAGCGGGTCTGTACTTTGTGACTGCTGTCATGACCATGTGCAATGCCTTTGTAGTTCAACTGCAATCCTCCGATCACGGTTGCAATGCCGATCTCCTCCCCGCTGAATGGAGCAGGAAGCAACGTCGATTGCATCACTTCTGGTTCCTCAGCTGTCATTTCTAGAGAAGCTGGGGAAGAGGCTATTCCAGCATGATCCCCGCTTGAAAAGCTTCTTTGCAGTGTAAAGGTGTCACTAGGGGTCTAATAGACCCCTAATGTCACCTTAAAGTGAACCTGTCACCTTTAATATACTATCACACAGGGGAGGGGGCTTGTGAGCCCCTTATGTGATAGCAATTAAGTACGTAAAAATACAAAAATAATTTTTAAAAGTAGCTCAACCCTGTGCGCATACTAACGTAAACACGCGTGGGGTGTGCCTACGTACGAAAGCGACGATGGCACTACCACTGTTGGGTATCGCCGAGTATGCCAGAGTGAGAGTAATCATTCTCGGGCCAACAATTACAATTCACTCTAAACTGATGACCTGTACGGGCTTTTGAAGCGACATCTATGGACAATTTGGGTTACGGTTAGGGATTCACTGATACCGGTATTTCGGTATTGAGTACCGATATTTTTTTTCGGTACTCGCCGATACTGAATACCGGAAGTCCCATTCAGGAAGCCAGGCGGCGGGTAATGACTCGACGCACGGCTTCCCGATTAAAGGAAGCCGTCCCCATGCTTCTTGTCACAATGTGACGAAAAAGCACGGAGCCGGCTTGCTGGCCTATCATGGAAGCCGGGCGCCATGCTCCCTCGTCATGAGGTGACGAGGGAGCATCAAGCCGGCTTCACGGCCAATTAGAAAGCCAAACTCGCCCAAATACCCGGTATCGGTGCATCCCTTGTTACTGTATTTTGTCACCGTTTCACGGGCACACGCAATTTTTAGCCTTTTGGGTATCTACTTGGCACAACCTCATCTTTTAAAAAAATTCCATATTGTATTTTTGGGTTTGAGAAAGTTGTGCGAAGTAAAAAACATTTTTCAACTGCCACCATTTTATTCTACAGGGTCTCCGCTTTCAGGAAATGTATAACTCTCAGGGGTTTTAGGCTAGGTTCGGACGTGCGTGACACCCGGGAGGTGCATGCTAGGACCGCGCGAACTTGTCCTAGTGCAAACAGCGGTTGCCGCGCGGCCCCGTTGATTTCAATGGGGTAACATCCGCGTGGCAGATCGCTAAAAAAAAAAAAAAAGGAA